CAGAAAAACCAGACTTCCATTCTTCATAATTCACTATTTCTCAAAAGGAAATATGACTGTAAGTCTTTTAACAAATAAAAATGCAAATCTTTTGCAATCCATGAACCTCTTCTTGGAGCATAACTTTCCTATCTCACTGCCACCACCTACCCTACTTCCAAAATTGTCCTTGTTATTTAATATCTTCCAAATTTCTTAATTAATTTTTTAGGAACTCAAAGGAGACTTTTCATGGCTTAAGCAAAATTACAAACATAAAAATAACCTGTGGCTTATTGGTTATTCAGATAAACACCTATAGATTGTTCCTTTTCAAGTTGTGACTACCTCCTTCAAAAATGGCTTAATTGAAGCTTAATTTTATTTAGAATACAAAAGAGCAAGTATAATCATATCCTGTAAGAGTTCATATCTTATGTGTACCTTATTATGTAAATAAAAAATATAAACACTGCCTAATTTTAATTCTTTTTGCTGTATCTGCTATTAGAGATATGAGAGCTGGATATAAAATTATCTGATAAACTACTTCCCTTCTTTAGACTAAGTTAACTCGTCCAGGACAAAATCTCCACAATTCTCCACCTCAAAGCTTCAGCAGTATGCTAATGAAATTCTGACAAGCACAGAGTCAGGTTTTTCTATTCAATATCCATGGATCACTGATCCTGTTTTGTGGAACAAAAAAATAACCTTATTTTCATTTGTAGCTATGGGTAGAATATACTGGTAATTTATATTCATATCTTAGAATAGTGGAACAAAGGATATGTGTTGACAATGCACTCTTATTTTGGGGAATGAGTTCCTGATCTGTGAGGACAGTAGCCACAGAAAGTGACAAATTCAGAGGCATTCGTGTTTTCCCTAAAACAATAGCTTCAAACTTTTTACCTTGTCTAACAACATTCAGTGGTAGATTCAAAGGGGGAAAAATGGGCTGAAGTTCTTAAAGCTAATATTTAATAGACTATCTGAAATGCCTATCACACATAAAATAATCCTGTGACCGTTGCCACCGTATTCTATAAAGGGCAATGAAACTTAGATCTTTAGTTAGTGTACTCCCAAAAAAGAGTATGTCAAATTGGTTAACCCACTGACACATTTCATGTATTTACTATTTGAACTAGATAAACTAAATAGTACTTTCTATGGAGTATGTCCTAGGACTTGTGCTATCTTTACCCCAAAAATTAAACATTAAATTACCATCTATTTGCTTTGACCCTACAAACATCCTATCGGTATATAAAGAGGGAAGCATATCAAATGCATTTGTCTTTTCTTCTAGTGAAATGAACCAAAACAAAAAAACCAAAAAAAAACAAAAAAAAAACCCCTGCTGCCTCAAAGATTAATTACATTCCTGTTTTGAAAACTAATGAATAGTATGACATTAGAAAATGTCACATTCATAGATGTCTTTGAATTCCCTTTTAACTACCCAAAGAAATAAGTAAACTGGCCTACATAGTAGCTTATTTGACAACATGCAAGAAGCACAGATCATACAATGGACATTCACATTTAATTTCAGACCCATTAAAGCATCCTATAGCTAATCTATATTTCTAACTGTAATTTGTATTACCTGAGCACATACTTGCTGGAAAGACAAGGATGACTAAGTTGAAAAAGACCCGTCTATCCCAGCCGTCGATCTTACGGACCAGGCGGCAGTAAATGTGTAAAGGACAAAAGAACTGGGCTCAAGGCCCGCTTCCTCTGCGATTCACCACGTGGCCTTGGGAAACCCCCTAAGCTGCGCCAAGCTGCTTTCTCAAGAGTAAAAGAGATAAACTGACTGTCCTACATATACGATGTCCCTACTGTAATGTTCAAATGAGAAAGTGAAAATGCTTTGTAAAACTGTAAATCAGCTTAGCCAAAAATCTCTGAAAGAAAAGAATCAGATTATATTCAGGGACTATGAATCCTTTTTAATCTTCTAGTTTCCTCATTTATAAATGAAGGATTTTGGCCCACAGATAAAGCAGAATCAGAAAAGCTAAGTCATTAAAAAAAAAAAAAATCAATGATCTGCATCTTACACTGTTCAGTCACACTGTTAATGTCAATAGTGATTATTCCAAAGGCTTAGGGATAATGAATGATTTCAAACAACTTTTCCAAGGCATGAATATTAAAGTAAAATCTATTTTAAAAACTCAGACACCAATGAAATAGTTGCCTAAATGGTATTAAGTTTATGAAGTTGGCATAGATTTATAAAAAAGATAAAATAAGAGCAGACATAAAATAGTTTAATGAATCCACTTCCTTTATTGCAGCAACTTCTGTACAAAGCAGCAACTGCAATTCTCAAGGTTAAAACATTAGAAAAGCATTTGTGTGACAGTTATAGTACAGTATTATCAAAATATTACATTTTCAAACTTAGTAGATAATCATCCACCAGAGCTCAAATCTTTAAATTATTTCCACAGTCTAAAAATATGTAATGTCAGAAAGCATATAAAAAGAATGCAAAAGGAAACCTAAAATACAAATGAAATAATGTAACAAATAAATATTTGATTTCAGTAACCGTTAATAATCAGCTTAACACCACCATTCTCTCTAAACCCACTGAATTCTTACCTATTAGGAATAATGAACTGTCAAATACCATTGTGTAATTATTTATTTCCAAGTTATCACCAATGATTAGAACTAAAAAAAATTTGGCATTAAAATAATCAAAATTCAGCATAAATAAGGTACAACAGCTTCAACACTAGCTAGCATCTCTAAGAATTAATCATTGAAATTTATTAGAGCACTACAACAACCTTGAAACTTTTGACCTGGTGTCTAGTGTTAAGTGAAATTAATACAATTTTTTTTAAGTGAAAAGCTTCTTACATTATTTCACAGACAATATTACCCTCCCCACATTATGCATATTTAGATATATTTTATGTACTTTATACACACATGTATAACACATGACATTTGGTTCCTGTAGTATAGATCACAATGATGTTTTCCTGAATGGGAAAAACTTAAAAAAAAAAAAAAAAAAGTAAGTGTACCTGTGCACATATCAAGATAGCAGCACTCAGTCCATGCCCTATAATCCATTTTAAAAGTTCACACATGATATTGTTTACTGAATATATTTCTACTATCTTTCCCCCCCAAACACTGCAAAACCTGCAATAAATGGAACAATGCTGAGTTATAATGTAGAAAAGAATTTTTAGAAAATCGGTTACTTCATTTTCTTAATATTCTGAATTCAAAATTATCAGATCTCCAATTTACATTAATTGAATTCATACTCATGCAGCAAAATACTGCACCATTGAAAAGAATAATTTTAAAGATTTCTATCAAGATTCATGAAACTTGCGTAAATTCTACACCATGGAAACTTATCCCAACGCATCCAGCAAACAGCATTCTAGATGGAAATGTTCTCCATCTTTAACTGGCAACTGTGTGAATGACAGCATGCCCTTCAAATGGCTGCCTTGTTCTCCGTGAAACCATGTCCATCAATCTGACTTTGAACTCATGTTTACTAAACAAAAAATAATTTAATCTAATGAATCTTGATCACTGTAAAATGCAAAACACAACATAAATTTCATTATATATACACATATGCATCTGTGTATGCATATACATATACACACACACATATACAGATATGTAGACATAAATCCCTTGAAATGTTTTTAGGAAATCCTTCCTTGAATAAAAAATGAAAAACTTCACATTAATAATTGTATATAAAGCTTTTAGTAACAGTACATATGCACTGTCAAAATTGTACTAGTAGACTGTGATGTCAAAACAGACATTTCAAAAGCACAAACTGGCAGTTTTTATTAACATAAAAGTTTTAAAGTATTAAGAATGGATTAAATTTAAATGTTCAGAATAATCTGTTCAAACCTGAGTGTATTAAGACTAAGTGTATTTGACAATTGAATGAAGCAAGCCTAAAAACATTTCACTAAGAAACCAGTGGTCCATTTAACCATTTGATGAAACATTATTTTAATGATTTATAAAGGATGGTACAGGACAGTGAAATTCCACGTAGTGTTTATTGAAATATTCTATTAAATGACATTGCTTTGTCTAAATTTCCTCCAGAAAAAAAATCTGTTAGCATTTCTTAAAAGTCCCTCAGATTTGAGGAAAATTCTAAATTAGGACAGATCTCTCTTCAAATAAATACAAATGATCTTGTTTAAAGAATGACAACATATAATTTTTCAGCATGGTATATTCCAAGTATTAGATAAATCCTCAACCTTCCCTAAGGTTTCAAGAAATAATAATGAAGATTGATACAATAGCCAATCAGAAGGGTTTAAAAAGGTATTTTGGGACTTTTTATCTTAGCTCTACATTTATGAGTACTCATATAAACCTAACCTTGGGGTCACTTTTTGATTACCATATTTTTTCCCCATTTTTCATTAACCTGCCCTAATTCTCACCTTTAACATCTAACAGATACCTTTAACAAAGTAATAGAAAACATACAGTACTCAACACTAATTGGTCAATGGAAGAAGAAAAGCAGTGTCCATTTTGTCTTAAGGTAGAAGAGACCAGAAACAAAAATAATAGCTGAAGGCAAAGTCTGACATTCTATAAATTTATAAAAGAGGATATATGGATGAGATTTGGTTAATTTCAGAAGGCACCTCAAGGCTAAAGGCTTTTTGTACTCCTTTCATCAATCAAAAAATAACACACTTTTATTGCTATTCCAGTAGCAAAGGAAAACTTTACTCTTACGAACTTCAGTCCAAGAAAGAATCACCATTCACTAAGATTGAGATATGGAATTGACTAAAACTGAAGTCTCCATACACATAGCAATGGAGCAACTTTCCTGTGTGCTTTCAAATTAACGAAATAGTGAAAGAAAAGTCACCATTCGCCATTGTGATGTTAATATGTCATTGAAGATTTCAGTTACTTCACTAGGCACTGAAGTACCACTCTGGAGGACTGTCCATTGTGTAGAACATTTAGGAATAGAAGGTAAGGACACTCTGATGATTCCCACGGACTAGGAGGATTGGTGGTAGGTCCTTAGATAGAGCTTCTAGCCATGCCATGTAGAGAGCACTAGACACAGCACCTTTTCGTGCAACTGGAAGACTCCTGGCATCCAAAACAGAGAGGAAATTGAGCAATACATTTGAGAAGAGTAAAATGTAACAAAAATTATAAATGAAGTCACGATAAAATTAATTAGAATTTACTATAACGTATCATAATTTTAGAATACTTCTGAGTGTGGTGAAATTCTCCACATAGGAATAGCAACTACAGTCACGCATCACTTAACGATGGGGATGTGTTCTGAGAAATGTGTCGTTTGGCAATTTCACCCTCGTGCAGTCATCATAGTGCACTTACACAACCTAGATGGCACAGCCGACTACATGCCTGGGCTATATGGAACAGCCTATTGGCCCTAGGCTACAAATCTGTACGGCATGTCACTGCATTGAATTCTATAGGCAACTGGAACACAATGGTAAGTATCTGTATATCTAAACATAGAAAAGGCACTGTAAAAATCATTATATAATCTTAAGGGACCACTGCCATAGATGCGGTCCATCATTGACCAAAACGCCTTTATGCAGCGTGTGTCTGTACTAAACAATCATATTACTATTCCAATGTTTTCAATTGTAAACAAAAGATTTTTAAAAATCTGTTCTTTAAGAACAGCAAATAAATATTTCTATAAACCAAAATAATTTGGTATCTAACACTAAATCCCAAATTCCCCTTCTTCCACGAGAACAGAATTCTTTTAGGAGAAAGGGATGTTTCGATCGGAATTTAGAAAATGGAAGCTACACATGGATAAATGAAATTCTTATCTTCCTCTATTTTTCTGAGTTTTAGTTTCTATTTTTAAATGATAATGTAGTGGCTAGTTGCTATGCAGAGTGAAGTTTCTAAATTTCTATGTTTTAGTGTCTTCCATTACAGGTATTTGATTAGCAGCAGAACTTGAAACTTTCTGATATATTGAATATTTATTTTTAAACTAACAATCCTTTAGTTACTTTTTCCATCACTTGACACGGTTTTTTGGAGGCCTGAGCTTTCCTTATCTGTTAAGGACAAAGGCTCTAGAACTGAGAAAATTTGGGTTCAAGTAATACCTAGCTAACCTACTTTAATAGAGGAAGAGCCAAAGTAGGCAATTAGCATCTATATTTAACTCGAGGGCAATGCATCTATATGTGAAGTTTGTGCGTGGGGAAACCTGGGAGTGGGGATTCAGATAGGAATCTCTATTCAAATTTAATCCTCCAAATAACTTGCTGGGGTTATTGTCATAAAGAAGCAAGCTGTCCAGGATCCAAATTTTAACATGGGACCATCCTATCTCACAAAGGCTTGATGGCTACGTTGTGGTGTTTACAAAGCTAAGTAATTTTGAAAAGATGAGAAGAAGGGTAAAAGAAAAGTTTCAGAATAACCTATTATGATAAAGAATTACTTAGATTCATATAATGCTTAAAGTTTTTGTCTTTCCTCCTAACTTAAATGATTTCTCCAAAAGCTTAAAGCAAAGTATATTCAAAAAAGTTTTTTCCTCCTTATAACCACTAAGCCATTATGGGTGCTATATGATATGTACTTGGACTATAAATTAACTCAAAGTACATCATCCTAAAATGAACAACAATAAAATCTTAATACAGATATTACTTACATGACAATAATATTAGCTGTGCTTGAATGTTCCTTTAGTAGTTCATTTAACCTGATCTGCCGGTATGTCTGAAATGAAACAGGACAAAGTCATTTCTAGACCATTATAACTGGTTCCTTCCATACCAAATTGCAGTTCTTGGTATTTATGTCTTAAGGATTTTAAAGAACCACATAGAAGATTAATGAAAAGGAAGCAGAAGAAAAGAACCTTGGTCTTATAAAGCTCAAGCTCATTATCTGTTATTCGCCATGGTTCATCTTCTTTCATTTTATCTGCAACATCTTGTTCTTTATCATCTTCGTGAAGTCTGTATGGCTCAATCATTTCATCAAAAGCTACAATACTTAAAAAATTGAAAGAAAAATGACAATTAACTTTATTTAAATTACATAACAAGAAGATCTTGAACACTAAATTCTAACTTGAAAAGTTAGTGCTTCTCATCTATTATGCTCCCCTCCATACCCAAGCTATAACAATCACTTTGGCGATTTATTTAAAAAATAGCAATTTCTAGCCTCTCAAACTGATTAGAAATTTAGAACTATACTGACAACACAGGTTGAGTATCCCTAATCTGAAATGCTTCAAAATCTGGAACTTTCTAAGCATCAACATGATGCTGAACAGAAATGCTCACTGGAGCATTCTGAATTTCAGATTTCCAGATTAGGAATGCTGAACCAGTATGTATAATGCAAATATTTCAAAATCCAAAGGAATCTGAAATTCAAGCATTTGGGATAAGGAATACTCAATGTGTAATAAAATTGCTGTTTTTAACTGCTAAAGCTGATCTCCCTCTATCTACCCCTGCTTCTATGCCCACTACCCTCAACTTGAATAAATTTTATCAAAGTAGCCAAAATGCAAATTGTGCTACTACTTTGCTCAATACACCCAAAGGCTTTCCCAGTTCAAATACCAATGAATAAAAGTACTGCAAGAAAATACGCTAGAACATTTTGAAGGGAGGAAAGGGCAGATACTAAAATTTTAAAAGATACAGAATTAATTTCTAGATCCAAAGATCCTTACTAGGACAAAAGGTAATAAAAGAACATGAATGGCATTGTAATCCCCTATGAATATGAGAAATATTTTTTAGTATCAATCTAGTATAAAGCACGTTATATATTGTTTTATAATAGAAGCAATCTCTCCCTGATTACAATCTCAAAAGATATACCTTACTATTTTCTATTTAAAATAAATTCTTTATATCAGCTTCATCATTTCTTCAACATTTATCTGAGAATGATTAAAATTATATCTGGTAAAATAAATACAACTATAACAACTTCTGTATACCATTTTCAGGTAGAATATTCCAAGAGTCTGTGCTAGGAGAATTCTAAATGCAATTATTGTAGGTAAATTCTTAGATTCTCCTACTTTAGCAATAAAACAAAACAGCAGAAAGTAATCGGTATTTGGAGCAGGGATTGAGTGGTTATAATCAATTTGGGCAGGGACGATGGAAATAAACCATCGGTGGCATTAACAATTTTCAGAAATCACATAAAGTAGTGATTGAAATCCTCTCTAAAAACTGAAAACTCTTTAGACTTACTTTAATATCTGCTATAGGCATGACAAGTATCAGTGCTAAATTTTTAAAAATTGACTTCACATGTAACTAATAGCAGGAAAAAAACCTCTAGGTACTTAGTTTAAGTTGAATTTGTGTCTAAGTAGGCCAACTAAAAAAGGATCAGAAATTTGTAATTTATACAATAACTTACTTTTCTTTCTTTGGTTTGGTATTGATATCTCCTAGGACCATAATATCTGAGAAGTCTATCCGGAACTTACTAAGCAAGGTAGCCATCCTATAACAAAAATGAATAAACACTGAGATACATGAAGGGTGCATATAAGTAGTTTGATTCTATACTGGGCTGAATCCATCCACCTGAAGAGCATGGTTCACAGGAAAAGCCTACAAAGTGCTAAACAGCGTCCACCTGAATTAATTCGCACTGTTCCTTCACAAGAAGACTTCTAAATCCCCGAGTAGAGACTACGGTGACATTCTTTTACTGTCTCTGAATCTCTCCTTGGTGTCCAATAGTGAGTAGGCAGAGAAAGACATTGAAAATGAAGTCTGAATGACAACTAGTATTTTTAAAGCTAATTTTAGTCAAATTATATTAGTAAGTATATGAATTTCAGTAAAAACTAGTAGATAGATATTATTTTTAGATTATTCTTCCATCCAAGAGAAATGCCCATCTCAAGGCCCAAATACGACTTTGTGGGCCAACCTGAAGATACAGCCAAGAGCAGATTAATTTCACAGCTTTTTGTGGGGGAGTGGGGGAAGAGGGCAACTGGAACAGGCACGGAAAAGGAACATCAATAAGCCTAATTTTTCAGTAAATACCCTTTGGAAGCATACTTGGCAATGAAACACTGGTGGCAACAATAGAAAAGGTGAAGTGCACATACATACATACAAGAAAAGCAATTAACAAAAGAGAATTTTATTTTCAATCAAATGAGTTTTTAAAATTAAGACACGAGATATTAGAAAACAGATAAGCTACAGGTTTAACTATTAAATTCATTACTAGTATTTCTTGCATAATTCATTATTAGAAATGAATAAACACCTACTTGAATTCCAGTATCTACCTATTATACTAAGTTCTTACTTAAATACAATGTGCTAAACATTATAGGGCCCACAAAACTCAAACTAAGAAAATATAATACAGGCCAGAGTGTGAGGAGTGGTAGGTATCAAGTGTATTGTGATTGGGGAAGGAAACATAACAACTAGTCAAGGGGGTAAAGGGGAAAAAAACAGGGAAAGCATGAAGAAGAACTGAGCTGGGCTTTAAAGAATGGCGTATTTAAACAGATAATAGGAAAGGCAAGTGAAGAGCCATTCATATTTATAGGACAGACATGAGCTTAAGAAGAAGCCTGAATTCACAGCATGTTTAGGGAATACGCAGAAGAGTAAGGCAGGGCATATTTGCGGGAATACGAGATAAAAATGGAAAGGGAATAGGAGAACATATTGTCAAGGCCTTACAGCAATCAGACTTTCTCTGGTAGGTAACAGAGAAGTTGTTCGAGTATTTTGGGTGGAGGAATCACGCGGTTGAAACTCTGCTTTCCAAGCATGAAACTGGCAGGGATGTGTACAATATATGCAGGAATGTCAAAGACAAGGCAAAGGTACTTAACGTGCAGGAGAGAAGCACTGAAACCAGAACTGGCATTGTGGACAGACAGAAAGCAGGGGATGTATAACAACAGCGTCCAGCGATTTCTGTTGTCTAGAAGTCTACAAAATGCATCCCATATATAATATGCAATTTTGTGTACTTTCTTCCCCAACTGAAAGAAAAACAGCTGTTTAATATTTTAATGCCACAAGAATTTAAGAAGAACCTTCTAAATGCTAATATGTTAAAAATACCACATTTAAATAAAATTAAGTACCTACAACTTAAACGTGAAGACTAAATTAAAGAGAATGAAGTTATGTTTAAGTAGAATTTTCAGCTTCAGTAAAGAGGAAATGATTGACATTTTCTGGATTGTCTAATTTTTACCCTATCAAATCTATATTGTGATAATGAAGCGCCACTGGATCAATGCCCTTCAATTTTAAAATGAACTTACGCTCTCCGGTCATGGTCTATTCTGTTTATTTTTCCACCAATGAATACTCTGATCTTACAGTCTTTCCACTTTTTCTTGGTAGTCAGAAGATAAGGTATCAATAAGGTCAAACCTGAATTATAAAAATATAACAAATGATTTATAAAATGCTAATTTCTCATTCAAAAACTTTTAATTCAATTTAGTCTCTAAAAACATGTTCACTATAACTCAATATAAAAAATTCTTTCTGTCTTTCCTTGATGATTCATTCAGTCAAAAGAGCCATTAGGCAGGCCTAGGCAAGGAGGGCGGCCCAGTGGAGTCTGGGTCCATTTGAGGAAGAGCACCAAATGGGACCGTGGACTGGCAGAGTCGGGAGACTAGTCACAGACAGGAGGACTGAGGAAATGAGTCTATTCAGTGACCCTAATGGGAGCCAGGTTTAACACTGAAATGAGAAATATGAAAGGGAGAAGCTGGGCTGAATTGATAGTATCTCTATATCCACGCACACACACACAAACATATATATGCATATTTCCTAGCTCTGTCCTGAGTGGTCCTGGGAACATATCTAGTAGCAAATCTAACACCTTGATCTTTGTTTCTAAATACTATTCTCCACTAAAAGGAACCACCGATCCTTGGATAAAGGGTTGCTTCCATAGCTGGTGTAGGCAAAGTACAAAACTACAAACTGAGCCTGTAACATCGTCTCATGTCAGAAAGTAACTAAAAGAATGACTGGACATGATAAATGGACACAGAAGAGGATCCCACTGCTAAACATGGGACAAATGGAACATCAAAACAAGTAATGAGAGTAACAAATTACATCCCACTGAATAAAACAGGAATCAATGAGTCCATCCTGACAGAAATAAAGAGAAAGCTCTTCCTTATAGTAATATGCCAACTAATAAACAAGGAAAAAATAATGGGATTGGAAAATTATCATTTGGCAATCACAACAATAACAATAAATTCAGGAAGAAACATTTATGGATGCTAAAGATAGTGGTAAAGGTAAAATGAAATATTTAAATACTCTCAAAGTAACTCCTCCCCTCCCCTGCCACCCCCAAGACCTGTAATTATAAAGGGAGGAGTAACTTTCCAGTGGATAGACCTGGTGAAAGCCACACTACTCAGTGGTCAAAGTTAAAGTCACCAAGGATGGGACAAAACATCACATGCCACCTAATGAGATGCCACCTAATGAGATGTCGACAGCATAACTTCTGTGATATTTCTGCCACAAATACATAAACAAATTATGATAGAAGAGAAAATAGCACTCCAAACTAAGTGACATTCTACAAAATGGGCTGTAACATTAAAAAAATCTTAAGGTCATGAAGCTCAAGAAGTACAAGGCAACTTCCACATTGAAGGATACTGAAGACCTGACAACTAATTGCTGTGCCTGATTCTGAAACTAACCCTTTTCTTTTGGGAATGTTGGCAAATGTGAGTGGGGTCTAGGGGTGAAGAGTGCATGCCATTTCTTAATACTGTTCTCACTACTTCAGTAAATTTAAAATTATTAAAAATATGTATTTTAAGCACCTTACCTCCATCATCAAAAAGCCACCAGACATCAATAGTGTTCTTTCCTTGTTTTTTCTGAAACTGTACACTGGCTTCAAGAAGCTTTTGGTCAGCTACATTTAAAGGCACAATAGGGCCTCTGGATTCTAAAGGATTAAGCAAAAAAAAAAAAAA